GTCAATGTTCAACAGAACCTCTTAATATTTTCTGATGGTCATGGGCCCTTTGATTGTAGGTGAACTATAAATCCCAGCAACTACAACTCCCAAATGTTAAGTCTATTCTCCCCAAATTCCATCATTCACATTTGAGCATATTGAATATTTATGCCAAGTTTGGTCCATATCCATCATTGTTTGAGTCCACAGTGCTCTCTGGAGGTAGGTGAACTACAACTCCCAAATTCAAGGTCAATGTTCAACAGAACCTTTTAGTATTTTCTGTTGGTCATGGGACTTCTGTGAGGCAAGTTTGGTTCAATTCCACCCGTGGTGGGGTTCAGAATGCTCTTGTTCAACAGAACCTTTTAGTATTTTCTGTTGGTCATGGGACTTCTGTGAGGCAAGTTTGGTTCAATTCCACCCGTGGTGGGGTTCAGAATGCTCTTTGATTGTAGGTGAACTATAAATCCCAGCAATTACAACTCCCAAATGTCAAGTCTATTCTCCCCAAATTCCACCAGAGTTCACATTTGAGCAGATTGAATATTTATACCAAGTCATATTGAGTATCCGTGCCAAGTTTGGTCCAGATCCATCATTGTTTGAGTCCACAGTGCTCTCTGGAGGTAGGTGAACTACAACTCCCAAATTCAAGGTCAATGTTCAACAGAACCTTTTAATATTTTCTGATGGTCATGGGAGTCCTGTGAGCCAAGTTTGGTTCAATTCCATCGTTGGTGGGGTTCAGAATGATCTTTGATTGTAGGTGAACTATAAATCCCAGGAACTACAACTCCCAAATGTCAAGGCCTATTTCCCCCAAACTTCACCAGTCTTCCCATTTGGGCATATTGAGGATCCGTGCCAAGTTTGGTCCAGATCCATCATTATTTGAGTCCACAGTGCTCTCTGGAGGTAGGTAAACTACAACTCCCAAATATCAAGGTCAATTCCCACCAAACCCTTCCAGTATTTTCTGTTGGTCATGGGAGTTCTGTGTGCCAAGTTTGGTTCAGTTCCATCGTTGGTGGAGTTCAGAATGCTCTTTGATTGTAGGTGAACTATAAATCCCAGCAAGTACAACTCCCAAATGACTAAATCAATACCCTCTCCAAACCCACCAATATTCAAATTTGGGTGTATTGGGCATTTGTGCCAAATGTGGTCCATTGAATGAAAATACATCCTGCATATCAGATATTTATGTGACAATTCATAACAGTAGCAAAATTACAGTTGCAAAGTAGCAACGGAAATAATGTTTCCCCCTTGCTTGTCAATCACCCGCTTAGTCCCGCCCCCAGGATAAGGAAGGGGAGGGGCTTTGCAGAAGAGAAAGAGGGCAGGAAATGCGCAATGACATCCGGGACTTCTGTGCGCAGGGCGACTTGGGAAATGTATTTCCCTCCCCTTCCAGGCGAGGAGCAGAATTAACCCTTTCGCTTCCCTTTGGAGGAAGGATTTAAGGAGGAACGGAGGGAATGAAAGAGGGAGATGGAAGGAGAGGAAAGAAGGGCAGGGGAGAGGGCTGGGGGTCTCCCTTTTGGAAGAGAGCCTTCAAGCACCCCCTCGGTCTCCCACCCAATTCCTAACCAGGGCTGGCCCTGCTTAGCAGCCAAGCTCAGGCTGGATATAAGATTCATACATTTTATCATTATATTTATATCGTAAAAAACTCAAAAATTACCACAGCAAAACAACAGAGGGGAAACAAACAGGCACATAAAATCACTCTCAACAAAAGATTCCCCCAGGCACTTCCAAGCCATTGAATGCAAATCAAGGTGATCAGCTGAAACATTCACATCTAGCCCCAGCAGACAAAAGTCCTTTGTCTCACCCTGGCCATTCCACAGATATATAAACCCATTTTTCCTACTTCCAACAGACCTCACTACCTCTGAGGATGCTTGCCATAGATGCAGGCGAAACGTCAGGAGAAAAATGCCTCCAGAACATGGCCATATAGCCCGGAAATCCTACAACAACCTATATTGTATTTATTTATATATTAGAGTGTTTAGGCAAGAAAAGAACTCAAATAGGTCAAAAATATAAAGCAATTACTGTTCTTTTTGCAATTATTATTAATATTATTATTTCTGCAATTATTATATATGGAGGGTGTTCAGGCAAGAACTCAAATAGGTCAAAAATATAAAGCAATTATTGTGCTTTTTGTAATTATTAATATTATTTCTGCAATTATTATTATATTTAATATATATATAGAGAGTGTTTAGACAAATAGGTCAAAAATAAAAAAGCAATTATTGTTCTTTTTGCAATTATTATTATTTCTGCAATATATATATATATATATATATATATATATATACATACACACACACACGAGTGTTTAGGCACAAAAGAAACTCAAATAGGTCAAAAATTAAAAAAGGAATTATTGTTCTTTTTGCAATTATTATTAATATTATCATTTCTGCACTTATTATGATATTTATTATATTATGATTATGTTTCTATTGAGTGTTTAGGCAAGAAAAGAACCCAAATAGCTCAAAAATATAAAGCAATTATTATTCTTTTTGCAATTATTATTAATATTATCATTTTTGCACTTATTATGATATTTATTATATTATTATTATGTTTCTATTGAGTGTTTAGGCAAGAAAAGAACTCAAATAGGTCAAAAATATAAAGCAATTATTATTCTTTTTGCAATTATTATTAACATTATTATTTCTGCAATTATTATATTTATTATGTTATTATTGTTATATTTATATTTTTAGGATATTTTGGCAAGAAAGGAACTCAAATTGGTCAAAAATAAAAAAAATCAATTATTGTTATTTCTGCAATTATTATTAATATTATTTCTGCAATTATTTCTCCCATTATTATTAGTGTTATTATATCTATTATAATTATTATTACTATATTTATTTTATATTTATAAGGAATTTAGGCAAGAAAGGAACTCATATTGGTCAATAATAAAAAAAAGCAATTATTATTTCTGCAATTGTTATTATTATATTTATTATAATTCTACTTATTATATTTATATGCCACTCGTTTTCCCCCAATGCTTTTATGGGTGCATTCTGATTATGGTGTACCTTACCTTGAGCCGTAAGAGCCGAGAGGCAGGCAATAAATTAAAATTATTATTATTATTGTTATTATTACTATTATTATTATTATCAGTCTCTATATATCTATCTGTCTATCTACCTACCTACCTGTCAATCAATATCTACATATCTATCTGTCATCTCCATAAATGGTAAGATATATGTAAATATTGGTATTGCTTTAGGGTTGCCTTGAAGAGCCAGCTTGGATATTATTCTGTCTGTCTATCTATCAACTGTCATCTATCTCTATCTATCTATCTATCTATCTATCTATCTATCTATCTATCCACCTACCTACCTATCCTTTCTTCCTTTTATCTATCTATACATCCATTCCTCCTTTTATCTATTATTTATTTACTTAATTTCTATCCCGCCTTTCTCTACCCCAGAGGCGACTCAAGGCGGCTTACAAATCTGGCAAAAATTCAGTGCCGCACATGTAAACAATAAAACACGTCTCATCAAAATCTAAACATATAGCAATTAAAATACATATCAATCAAACAAACAGATTAAAAACCATATAAAATGCTGAGTCATTGTCTCATATGTCTCATCTATCCATCCTTCTGTCTTTCCTTTTATCCACCCATTCTTCTTTCCTTTTATCTATCCTTCCATCCATCTTCCTATCCATCCATCCATCCTTCTATCTGTCTTTCTTCCTTCCTTCCTCCTATCCATCAACCCATCCTTCTATCTATCTATCTATCTATCTATCTATCTATCTATCTATCTATCTATCTATCTATCTATCTATCCTTCCTCCTATCCATCAATCCATCCTTCTATCCTCCCTCCCTTCCTCCTATACATCAACCCATCCTTCTATCCATCCATCCATCCATCCATCCATCCATCCATCCTTCCTTCCTTCCTTCCTTCCTTCCTTCCTCCTATCCATTCATCCATCCATCCATCCATCTATCCTTCCTTCCTTCTTTCCTTCCTCCTATCCATCAATCCATCCTTCTATCTATCTATCTATCTATCTATCTATCTATCTATCCTTCCTTCCTTCCTTCCTTCCTTCCTTCCTTCCTTCCTTCCTTCCTCCTATCCATCCATCCATCAATCCATCCTTCTATCTATCCATCCATCCATCCTTCCTCCTATCCATCAACCCATCTATCTATCTATCTATCTATCTCTCTATCTATCTATCTATCTATCTACCTATCTCTCTTTCCCTTCCTTCCTTCCTTCCTTCCTTCCTTCCTTCCTCCCCCTCCTCTTTCCTTCCTTCCCTCCCTTCTTTCCTTCCTTCCTTCCTTCCTTCCTTCCTTCCCTTCCTTCCTTCCTTCCTTCCTTCCTTCCTTCCTTCCTTCCTTCCATCATTCTTTCCTTCCTGCCGCCACAGACCTCCTTCCATCCTTCCTTCCTTCCTTCCTTCCTTCCTTCCTTCCTTCCTTCCTTCCTTCCTTCCTTCCCTCCCTCCATCTCTCTCTTTCTTTCTTTCTTTCTCTTTCCTTCCTTCCTTAACTTCCTTCTATCCATCAACCCATCCATTCTTTTAGCCATCCTTCCTTCCTTCCTTCCATCGATCCATCCACCTCTCCCCCCCCCCTATCCATCCGCTCCATGCAGTCATGCCGGCCACACGACCTTGGAGGCGTCTATGGATAACGCCGGCTCTTCGGCTTAGAAATGGAGATGAGTACCAATACCCAGAGTCTGTCTGTCTGTCTACCTACTTGCCTACCTATCTGCCTATCTTTCTATCTGCCTATCAATCTATCTGCATATCTATCTCTCTCTCTCTATTTATTCCATGCCTGAATGGAGGGCTCCTGCCTGCCTGCCTTGGGCTGCCTGCAGGTCCGCCTTTAAGAGCCATGGGGGAGCCCCTCCCTGGCAGCCCCGCCCCCGGCTGCCCCGAACTACATCTCCCAGCGCGCCTTGCAGCGGAGTTATGTAAGTTTCTCCCTGGAAGAGGGCAGGCGGGCGAGAAGAAGAGAAAGAGAGGAGGGGGGAAGAGGAGGAGGAGGAGAAAAGAAAGCCAGGTGCCCCCCTCTTTCCCCCCGGTTGCTTCCTTCCTTCCTTCCTTCCTTCCTCCCTGGCCTTGGGAGAGTTCTCCTCCGCGTCCTCGTCTTCCTCCTCCTCCTCCCGCGCCAAACCCGCATTAGGGGCGGGATTCCCGTCCGCACGCTTTGCAAGAGAGAGAGAGAGAAGGGAAGGCCCTCGTTGTGATCCTCAGAGGCTGGCTGCTGCTGTTTCCTTGGCCTGGGCTGCCTTGGCTGCACCAGTTGCATTCTTGGCCCCCTGTTGGAGCTCGGCTGCATCGGTTGCCTCCGGCCTTGGACGGGCCTTTCCTCCAGGATGTCTTCCTCGGGGCAGACGTCACGCCGGCAGTGGTGCTACCTGTGCGACTTGCCCAAGATGCCCTGGGCCATGATCTGGGACTTCAGCGAAGCCGTCTGCCGGGGCTGCGTCAACTTCGAAGGCGCCGACCGCATCGAATTCCTCATCGAGACCGCCCGGCAGCTGAAGAGGAACCACGTCTTGCAGGAAGGCCGCTCGCCGGGGCCGCAAGGTGCCAAGCATGCCAAGGACGGTGGAGGCGGTGCCGGCGGAAGCGGCAGTGGCATGGCATCCTTGGAAAGATACGAGCGGGGTAGTGGGCGACTCTCCGGAGGCGAATACGCCCTCAGCCCGCGCTTGCCCAACGGTTTGGCCCGCGGCTCCGGCTCCGACGAGGGCGAAGGAAGCCGGCAAAGTCCCACGGCACGCCGGGCACTGCTCGGCCCAGTGCCCCCCAATTTGGTGCCGCAAGGGCTGATGGCCGGACCCCAAGGTCTCTTAGCCGCCGTGTCCGGATTGGGGGCTCGTCCGGGAATCATGGCGTCGCCGATGCTAGGTGATTTAGGCAAGCCGGCGAGGTTAGTGTACGGCGACTACGAGAAGGAGAAACAGCGCAACAGCGAGTGCCTGGCGGAGCTGAACGAGGCTATGCGGGGCCGGGCAGAGGAGTGGCACGGCAAACCCAAGGCGGTGCGCGAGCGGCTGATGGCGCTCTACGGCTGCGCCCCCTTCAACGTGCGCTTCAAGAAGGACCACTCACTCGTCGGAAGGATCTTCGCCTTCGACGCCACTCCTCGGCCCAGCTACGAGTACGAGCTCAAGCTCTTCACCGAGTATCCGTGCGGCTCCGGCAACGTCTACGCCGGCGTTTTAGGAGTGGCCAAGCAGATGTTCCAGGATTGCCTCAAGGAGCCCGGGAAAGTCATCTCGTCGGGGTATAAGTATCTCGAATACGAGAAGTGCCACGGCTCCAATGAGTGGCGTCTCCTCGGCGAGCTGTTCACCGAAAACGTCCGGTTCTTCCGAGAGCCGCCCTCGGCAGAGACGATGCCGCAGCAGTACCTCGACAGCAACTGCGCCATGCCGCCCAGCCTCCTGCTCAGGGCCGTGCCGCCCTCGCGGGCCGTGATGCGCAGGCGCAAAGCCTCTCCCGAGCCGGAAGGGGAGCTGTCCGGAAAAATGACCGGCGAGGAGCAACAGCAGAGGCAGCACTGGTTGGCGCAAAGCTCGGCCGGCGGCATGTATCCCTCCGGCATGGCACACTTGCCAACGTCGGCGGTGTCGGAGGGCTCATTGCGCAACGACCCCTCACCCATCACGGCTCTGAAGAACGTGGCTGACACCTTGGGGAATAAAGAGGTCAATCCGGTGCACTCCACCACCGCCCGGCAAAACAGCGCCAGCCCGGCTTCGCCCGCCGCATCCGGCCAACACCGCTTGGTGCCCCGCAACGGAGAGCCGGGCCAAGCGACTACCACTTCCTCCTCCTCGTCTTCCTCTTCTTCTTCCTCCGGAGCCCACTCTTCCGGGGGAGTAGAGCCGAGCGGCACCCAGAGTGCCCCCGATTCCTCGGGCGGCGCCAGCAGCGCCCCGCTGTGCTGCACCATCTGCCACGAGCGCCTGGAGGATACCCACTTCGTCCAGTGCCCTTCGGTGCCCGGGCACAAGTTCTGCTTCCCGTGTTCCCGGGATTTCATCAAAGCCCAAGGAGCCGCCGGTGAGGTGTATTGCCCCAGCGGGGAGAAGTGCCCCTTGGTGGGCTCCAACGTCCCTTGGGCCTTCATGCAAGGCGAGATCGCCACCATCTTAGCCGGAGACGTCAAAGTAAAAAAGGAGCGCGACCCCTGAAAAAAAAAAAAAAAGAGCGGCGTCCGCCCGCCCACCCATCCTCCGGGACCGTGTGCTGGGGCTCAGCCCCCTTCCGTCGCCCTCTCCGATTCCACGGTGGCTGTGACTGGAATTAGTAACTTATTCCGCGCCACACGCTGGCACCCTTTGCTTGACACCCACGGTGGACTGGGGCCTTGTATATAAATCTATTTTTTAAATAATAATAATTTCCATAGCAAGCTGATATATGAAGCCACGTCTTATGTTTAACCTACTTATGGGGCAATCATTTGTGCTGTTCCGTCGGGGCGAAAAGACGCCGCCGGCGAATCCGGAGAGTTAGAAAATACGATTATTGTTGTCGAGGGCTTTCATGGCCAGAATCACTGGGTTGTTGTCGTTTTTTGGGCTATATGGCCATGTTCTAGAGGCATTCTCTCCTGACGTTTCGCCTGCATCTATGGCAAGCATCCTCAGAGGTAGTGAGGTCTGTTGGAACTAGGAAAATGGGTTTATATATCTGGAATGACCAGGGTGGGACAAAGAACTCTTGTCTGTTGGAGCTAGGTGTGAATGTTTCAACTGACCACCTTGATTAGCAGACCTCACTACCTCTTAGGATGCTTGCCATAGATGCAGGCGAAACGTCAGGAGAGAATGCCTCTAGAACATGGCCATATAGCCCGAAAAAAAACTACAACAACGACGCATCCGGAGAGTTAGAAAATACGATTATTATTGTCGAAGGCTTTCATGGCCGGAATCACTGGGTTGTTGTAGTTTTTTTCGGGCTATATGGCCATGGTTCTAGAGGCATTCTCTCCTGACGTTTCGCCTGCATCTATGGCAAGCATCCTCAGAGGTAGTGAGGTCTGTTGGAACTAGGAAAAGGGTTTATATATCTGTGGAATGACCAGGGTGGGACAAAGGACTCTTGTCTGCTGGAGCTAGGTGTGAATGTTTCAACTCACCACCTTGATTAGCATATAATGGCGTGACAGTGCCTTGAGCAAACTTTTGTTGAGAGGTGATTAGATGTCCTTGTTTTGGAGCTAGGTGTGAATGTTTCAACTGACCACCTTGATTAGCATATAATGGCATGACAGTGCCTCGAGCAAACTTTTGTTGAGAGGTGATTAGATGTCCTTGTTTTGGAGCTAGGTGTGAATGTTTCAACTCACCACCTTGATTAGTTCCAACAGACCTCACTACCTCTGAGGATGCTTGCCATAGATGCAGGCGAAACGTCAGGAGAGAATGCCTCTAGAACATGGCCATATAGCCCAAAAAAACCTACAACAATCCAATGATTATTATTATTTTTTTAAGGGCAGCTGTTTTGTTTATCCAAGTACCTGACCCCATACGATAGGATGCCCTATCGTTCCTTATATCCCCAAACCAAAACACCCTTCCTCTCGTATCCGTATGTTTCCCCCAACGTTGTCTTTTCCTGTATTGTCGAAGGCTTTCATGGCCGGAATCACTGGGTTGTTGTAGGTTTTTTCGGGCTGTATGGCCATGGTCTAGAGGCATTCTCTCCTGACGTTTCGCCTGCACTTTGGCAAGCATCCTCAGAGGTAGTGAGGATGCTTGCCAAAGTGCAGGCGAAACGTCAGGAGAGAATGCCTCTAGACCATGGCCATACAGCCCGAAAAAACCTACAACAACCCAGTTGTCTTTTCCTTCCCTTATCCCATCGGGTCCATTGCCCACCATCCTAAATACCAGTGTCTCCATTCTACTGTGTGTTTTGTGTGTGTGTACATAGATATATATATATGGGACAGCCCTAAATCTGTGCAGCATTTATATATATATTCTATATATATATAAAAAAGAGTCCGGATTTCAGTACTAGCCAGTTTTGATTCTCTGAGCAGGAAGAAGAAAGGAAGACGAGTCGGATGGGAGATGGGAAAAAGACGGGAAAAGTGCCTCTTGTGTAGATTTTTTATGTCCGAAAGCGGAAGGTGGGTGGTTTCCTTTCCCCCCATACCAAAAGACTTCAGCATGCACACCAAAAACAGGAAAAATCAAAAATATAAGTGGGAGAAATGAGAAGGAACAGAGGAGCGGTTGGATAGGGAAGCACATCCACAACCTTTTGAGCTTGGTGTGTCAAAATTTGCCAAAAACCTGAGCATAACTTGGGTGGGGTGTCACTTCGAGAGAAAAAAACACATAATTTTGCAATATTTATAGTTTAAATAAGAAAAAATGTATAATCCATGCTATGGAGTGAACAATGCTCAAACGTGCAGATGTTAAATTTAAGGATGGAATTAGTTTGGCTCTTGTAAGGTGTATTTCTCTGTATGTGGCCGCATGTCATCAAAAATAGCCATGCGCGTCAGTGCTGATACACGTGTCATAGGTTCACCATCATGGCATAAGAAAAATGTATAATCCGCGCTGAGTTATGGAGTAAACAATGCTCAAATGTGCAGATGTTAAAATTTAAGGATGGAATTAGTTTGGCTCTTGTAAGGTGTATTTCTCTGTATGTGGTCGCATGTCATCAAAAATAGCCATGAGTGTCAGTGCTGACCCGCGTGTCATAGGTTCACCATCATGGCGTTATAGGGTTCCCAATCCATTTGGGATGCCGCACTGTCGTTGAATCGGAGAGCATCGTCCATTCATTTCAATGCAATATAATTTCTGGCCTTCTATATGTTGGAGTTCCGACTCACAAAATCAATAGATTTGGGTCTTCTAGGAACCGAAATTGGCCACCAATTGGTTACCAATACAATCCAGAAGCCAAATTTTCATCACTGGGGACAGTTCCCTAACTGGAACCTAACACAACATGAGGTTATTAGGCATGGTTATAAAGTACTTGCAAAAGTAAAGTTCTGGTGGTGAAAACTAGGGGGCGCTGGTGCTTTGTTTCTAAAGTGTTGCTAAAGTTCTGGTGGTGAAAATTTCAGAACTACTTCCAAAATTTCATTATTATTTCATTATTGGCGATTTTTTATGACAGAACGGCCATTTATAACAAAATTTTGAAAGTTTTGTTAGAGTTCTGAAATTTTCACCACCAGAACTTTAGCAACACTGTAGAAGCAAAGCACCAGCGCCCCCTAGTTTTCACAACCAGAATTTGACAGAACCAATTAGGAACTGCCATTTATAACAAAATTTTGAAAGTTTTGTTAGAGTTCTGAAATTTTCACCACCAGAACTTTAGCAACACTGTAGAAGCAAAGCACTAGCGCCCCCTAGTTTTCACCACCAGAACTTTAACTTTGTAAGTACTTTAGAAACATTTAGAACCATGTATTTGCCCATGCCTAGAGGTTATATATCTTTGTATTGTCGAAGGCTTTCATGGCCAGATCTCTGGATTGTTGTGAGTTCTGGCCAGAAGCATTCTCTCCTGACATTTCGTCCACATCTATGACAGGTATCCTCAAAGGTTGTGAGGTCAATGTATTGTCGAAGGTTTTCATGGCTGGAGTCACTGTGTTGTTGTTTGTTTTCTGCACTGTATGGTTATGTTCCGGAAGCATTCTCTTCTGACGTTTCGTCCACATCTATGACAGGTATCCTCAAAGGTTGTGAGGTCAATGTATTGTTGAATGCTTTCATGGCCGGAGTCACTGGGTTGTTGTGTGTTTTCTGCACTGTATGGCTATGTTCTGGAAGCATTCTCTTCTGACGTTTCGCCTGCATCTATGGCAGGCATCCTCAGAGGTTGTGAGGTCATCACAAGCTCTTGAGGATGCCTGCCATAGATGGAGGTGAAACATCAGGAGAGAATGCTTCTGCAACATGGCCATACAGCCCGGAAAACACATGACAATCCACGTTGTGAGGTCAGTTGGAAACTAGGCAACTGGGTTGTTGTGTGTTTTCTGGGCTGTATGGCCATGTTCCCGAAGCATTCTCTTCTGACATTTCGCCTGCATCTATGGCAAGCATCCTCAGTGGTTTTGAGGTCATCACAACCTCTTGAGGATGCCTGCCATAGATGGAGGTGAAACATCAGGAGAGAATGCTTCCACAACATGGCCATACAGCCCGGAAAACACACGACAATCCACGTTGTGAGGTCAGTTGGAAACTAGGCAACTGGGTTGTTGTGTGTTTTCCGGAATGTATGGCCATGCTCCCGAAGCATTCTCTTCTGACATTTCGCCTGCATCTATGGCAGGATGCTTGCCATAGATGCAAGTGAAACGTCAGGAGAGAATGCTTCAGGAACATGGCCAAACAGTCTGGAAAGCACACAACAATCCATGTTGTGAGGTCAGTTGGAAACTAGGCAAGTGGGATTTATATATAATTGTGGAATAATGTCCAGCATGGGAGAAAGAACTCTTGTCTGTTGGAGGCAAGCGTGAATGCTGCAATTGATCACCTTGATCAGCCTTGAATAGCCTTGCAGTTTCAAGGCTTGGCTGCTTCCTGCCTGGGGGAATCCTTTGTTGGGATTCCCCCAGGCCCAGATAAACTCTTGCCTCAAACAGACAAGAGTTCTTTCTTCCACAGATACATAAACCTCACTTGCCTAGTTTCCAACAGACTTCACAACCTCTGAGGATGCCTGCCATAGATGTAGGCAAAACGTCAGGAGAGAATGCTTCTGGAATATGGCCAGACAACCCGGAAAACTCACAGCAACTCAGCTTAATTCCTAACCCCAAGCAAAATCAAAGCCTTGTAAGGGATGGGGGGGGGGGGGGGGGGGGGTGGTCTATCGCAATAAATCAATAGGGATTTCGATTAGGGAGGTGTACATAAATAAACGTGATTCGGAGAGGCGGAGGGATCGGAGACAGACATATATCTGTATAAAAGTCTGGCTTGTGTGGTCCTCAAACTCTTTTATGCATCGAGAAATGGCTCTGTGTATTTTGAGTATTGCGACGGTGGGGTTCAAGGCGACGCAAGAAGAAGGAGCGGATTTCCGCATTATGGGGAAAAGAGAATGTTAAGTTTGGGGGATTTTTTTGTATTTCATTTACTTGTCTCTGTCAATAAACTTGATTATCTCTTTTTTTTCTCAATTTACCATGCGTCAATTTACCACCATCTCCCCAAAGGGGACTTGGAGCGGCTTACAGTATTATTATTATTATTATTATTATTAGCAATTTATGTTTTTCTTTCCCTTTAAGAGTTCAGGCCAGCATATAGCATGACCCCCGTATCCATGGGGCAAATACTTCACTTAGGACATCCTATACAACAATAATAATAATAATAACAATAATAATAATAGTATTTTGTTTTTGGAGCTTTCATGACCGGAATCACTGGATTGCTGTGAGTTTTCAGGGCTATATGGCCGTGCTCCAGAAGCATTCTCTCCTGACATTTCACCTACATCTATGGCAGGCATCCTCAGAGGTGTAAGGTCTGTTGGAAACTAAGCAAGTAAGGTATATATATGTATGGAATGTCCAGGGTGGGAGA